GCCGCTGTGTAGCGTGGTTTTGTTCCAGGTGTCTTTCGTTTGTGTCAGCTTGCAGGGTTAGTTCTGATTCGCATTCGTTGCGTGGGCTAGCATCGCAGAGCCTTGTAGGTTTTGGTGGCCCCGGATATTTCTCTTGTCCGGGCATACAACACAAAGCGAGGGTGAAGGTGGATCCCTTCGGATGTCATTGATTTTTTGAGGGTTGCTTGAGAGTTGCAAAGTGTCGTTTAGGCTTGTTGCGAATCGTTGCAGATCCATCTGAATTCACGTCCCTGTAAGTCCAAACCTGACAGCATAACATCCTACGAATACAACACGCAAAAACCCCACCGAATGTCACTTTGATTCTAGAGCCGCATGCCCCTCTGTCCTCAGTCGAACTTCGAGGAAAGGCGCCCGAAACTCGAAAGAATAAAGCCTAGATCCCTCAAGCTCGAATCCCTGCGACGCATCCAGGTGATATTTCGACGCCCGCTGGAGCATCCTGCAGTGGCGGGAAGGGACACCTCACGTTTCCGAGTTTAGGGATTGACAGCGTTTCGTCTTCAGAGGCTGAAGGGTTTGGGGCTTAGGATGTCGGGGTTGGGGTCTAGGGCAGACATGGCATGGATTTGCATTAGCTGGGCCAAACTGAGCTCGGGTTTCGGGCCAGCTTTGGACTGCCTCAAGAGACAGGTTGCTGAAAGTTGTGCGGGGCGGGGAGGTTCAACCAACCCTAGTATAACATATCACGCTATGCAGTTCTGATACCTTAAGTGCTGCGGCCCTCCCATAAAACCGGCACATCTTTTCAAAGTGTTGGGTGCTCAGGGATTCTGATGTAGTTTTCATGTTTTAGAGTTGTGGTTTCAAGGTTTAGAAGTTTCGGATTAGTTCGGGGCTTCGGATACAGCTTCAAGGGCCCATTGATGTGCTAAAGCCTTTGCTTGATGAGTTTCGCACGCCAGTCTGCGTGGAAAAGCACTGAATTGTAAACCCGCCAGCCCCATGAAACAGAGCATCCCTGGGTAGTCATCAGTGCCATAGGATCCGTCATTAGTAACATTAGCTCTCTTTGACTAGGATTTCTTGTCCCTTTTTGGCGCCGGTTCCGTTTTGCTTGTGAATAATCGCTGACTGCACACTAACTACGGCCGTAGGGATGTGGACATGGGTTTGAGGGCTATAAACCCTGGATCTGACGAGTTTGTTTTGAGGGAATTTCCCCCCAATTCGAGAGCCAAGCAGGTCAGAGGGTTTTACTCGATACGTCTTCACCCTAGTAAGAAGGTATGTCAGAATGCTCTCGTGCTGGTTTGGCCCTCGCGTTCAGCATTGGAGGGTGAAAGAAGGAACCCGCAGCCAACAATTGCAAGTCGCAACCTTCAAACCCGAAACGCCTTTTCTCAAGCTTTGAGTGGTTTTCAGTGCAGGCAGATGATCTCCGGCCCACAAGGAGCAAAGCGGGCTTCAACGGTATCATGCAGGCCGCCAGTTTGCGAACTCTGAGGGTGCAGGCTTCCAGGTGTAAGGAGGTTTACCTTGAACCCAAAACCCAAAACCCTCAATCCGAAAGCAAATGAGACATGGTTGACAGGTTTCAGGTTTGAGGGTTTTGCGTCGATGTTATAGGGTCGACTTAGGGTACAGGTTTTGGTGTTTAGGGAGATTTAGTATTTAGAGTATAGCTTTGCTTGCTGTACCGGCTGCAGGCCGCAACAGATCGGAACGCAGAGTTTCTGCAGTTCCATTTCCGCGACTGCATTTACCAAAGTCTCGAGATACCGTCCCGCGACCTCTGCTGCTTAAGCACTATGCGGAGCCTTTAAGCAATCTTTTCGCCGTAAACACTGCCAAACATCATGCGTTGAGTTGATGATGCGTTTGCTTTTTGCCCCAACCCCGAGCCAAGGGTGATCAAGCAAAGTATGCCGAACACATTTCTCGTTACTGCAGGTTCTTATAAATGAAGTGCATCTAATTTGAGGCTTATGGGAGGGATACAAGCACAAACCGTTGAAGTCGACAGGCTTGAAAACATCAGTTTTTGATGTTTGGGTGTTCTTTCTGGTCCGCTGTTTCAAGGCTTAGGCAGCAGGGGCAGGGGTCCCGTAAGTGGGCAGCATCTGCCTTAGGGTGCAGGGTTGCCCTAATCCCTCCGGCCCCAGCCCTAATCTCTCTGCTCTGTGCCCGAAGCCCGAAACCCTAAGCTCTAAAGCTCGAATCCTTCGATGCTGCAAAAAACCGGCTCCGAACCCTCAAGTCTTTGTCCCCTAGACGCTTTGAGTTCTCGGAAGGGGTCAGGGAAATCTATTCCTGCTTTGGGGCTTGTGCTTCGGGTATCTTGAATGCACCGCTGAATCAAGCCGTCTTGCTTACCTGGCATCTGCAACTTACACTCCCTCCAGCCTGCGACCTCTGCATTCCGGGATCGTCGACCCTTCCTCCCACCATCGTCAGGCTGAAGCCCTGAACCCCAACCCCAAAACCCCAAGCCCGGAACCCTAAAAACACCAAACAACAAAGCAGGCAACCACGCAACCTGAGTCGGAGCTCTTCGGCAGCAATCAGCTTGGCTCAGGTTGTATAGCGGCAACCCGATACGCGTTTGCTGAGCATCGCATCGATGTTGGGTCTAGGCTTCTAAGACAGCAGCATGGCAATTCCCTCCCAAGCAGGCCAAGCACCCCCAGGTTCAGCCGAAGCTGTTCCAACTTTGCTTGCCACAGCAGGACTCTCCTTGTTGCAGGCGTCACAGTGAGAATAAGGCGAATAAACACTCAGGAAAAACAACAACCACCCCTAAACCATACACCTTACACCCTAGATTCGTACATCCATCCCCGACACATTGAAGCTCCGAAACCAGCACCCGAACATTCTTTGTCAAACATCAGGCCCCGCACGCCATCATTTTCGTTTATCCAACACCAACATTGGCGTGTCGGAAAGTGACGTGATCCTAATATGGGGCCTTGAAAAGTAGGATCCTCACGAAAGGGACTGTTACACTGCCACCCGCCTAGATTTCTGGAGCGGCTGTTGGCTGAAATCGCTGAGTTCTAGCACTTTAGGGCCTTGAGGCCTTTAGGGTTTCAGTGTTTTCGGTTCGAGGTCTAGGGTTTAAATTTAGGGATTTATGGCTTCGGATGTTCAGGATATGATATAAGGATTTCGCTTGGGATTTAGGTTGGCAGGTTTGCGATTCAGGGGTGTAGCAGGGTTTAGAGCTTGCGGGCTAGTTGCTTAGGTAAGAACGATTTAGATTGCATTTCTCCCTCTGATTTTGGGCACCCAAATCAAATCCTAAGTCACCATGGGGATGTCCATTCAGAACAATGCCACCCCATAGAAATTTAAAGGTCTGGAGGCCTTGTGAAAAATGTCATCCAGCGCGACAAAAATCCTATTCCCTGCACCCTGAGCTTCCAGCCCTGCGCCTTTTTAACCAGAGCCGAAACAAACGAAGAGCAGCCTTCAGCACAAAACGGCTGACCCGGACCTCCGCCCCCCCAAGTCCCCAAGTATTCAACATGGAGGGATGTATTGTATTTGCGGGTTTAGTTGGGTGTAGCTGGAGATTCCAGTTAGGGCCGCTTGCTAGACCCCTCAAACCCTAAGACCCGAAAGCACCGAGCAACATCAGAAATCCTTCTTTAGCAACACCGACACATAGCCCCAACAAAAAGCCCTCGGGCCCCAAGTCCAGCTTTGCCCCAAACCCTCAGCTTCTTCCTTTGTGTCTTCTTCTATTTTCGAAGCTTATCTCTAAGGCCCCTAAACCCTCAACTCTCTAAGGTTGCTGCTGAGCATTTCCAAGGGCTTTGCCTCGGCAGCGCACCAGGGTGCGCTGCAACGGGTACCCTACGGCGCCTCGGTGGGCTTAGGGTTTAGGGTTTAGGGTTTCAAACCTAAACGGGAGCATCTCGACCAATGGGCCAAAGCCAAAACCCAAAGCACCTCAACGTAGAGTGCTTTGCGGACGGTGGATCTTGAAGCTGCAACAAAAAAGGCAACCAGAAACCATAGGCAGTACCCTAAGCCAACTAAAGCCCTACTCCTATAAATCCTAAACCCGAAACCCAAACTCTACAGCTCAGGTGCCCCGCCAAGGATGCCCCTCGAGTCCATCACACCACCCGCACAGATGGCGGCCCCTGCACAGGGCTCGGTTCATTGAGGGTTCATGCCTTGAAGAGGAGCAAGGTTAGACGAATGGGATCTAAGAGTGCAACTATAGGCCCTAAACTCTAAAACCCTAAGCTCCAAGCTTGCTATGCGGTTGAACATTGAACTTCGCCATCCTTCAAGCCACCAGTACAACCCAACTTCCAGAATCCCTTGACTCCAGGCCCACACCCCGCAATCAAACCGGGATCCAAACCCGAAGCTCAAAGCCCACACAGCAAGCCCGATACTCCAAACAGCCATAAGTCCAGGAGAGTAGCCTTAATGCCTGATCCCGAAGCCAAAAATCGAACGGAATGCCGGTCCTGTCCATGGGGTTTAGGGTCTAGTGTTATTGATTTATCTGCGAAGACTCAGAATAGCAACAATTACGAGCATGAATTCTAGTCGTGCCATTGTCATTTAATGAGGATGACAAGGACATTGTCCTCAGAAGTGCTTCAGTTGTTAGGGCTATTCTGAGTTCTTCTTCCCACCACCACCACCACCACCACGACGAAGAGCGGCCCACCCACCTACTACTATTGTCGTTCTCATCATTCAGTTGTTCTTGCTGTTAATGTTTCCGGTAGTAATGTTTGACTTTTCCAGTACTTCCATCGCCAAGATACGTGGCACCCTTGAAGCTGAAGCTTCCCCATTGTTATACTTCAACAACGTTTGTTCCGGGAGGTTTAGGCACCGAAGCCGAAAATCGATTCAGAAACGTCTTTTCAACATTTAGGGCCTGAGAGGCTTTCCTTAGGCTTTGAGAGCTTGATGCCCTTCGTACCCTAAATCCCGAACACTGGGCCCTCCAGCCCGACCCTATGCCCTAAAGCCCTCAAGCCCAGGCGATAAAGCCTCACAACGCCTGGTGCACATTCGTCACCTGGGTCCCGCCGGCGGATGGGTCCGACCACGACGAGTTTACGTACGAGATGAATCTCAGGCAGGCGCTAAGTGGAGAGAACATGCCTTCGCTGTTAGCCTCCGGTCGGGCTTGGGTGTGGTGGAGTCTTAGGTTGTTAGTTTTGGGGTGTTTAGGGTTCGGGGCTGGTTTAAGGCGTAAGGTGCCAGACCACGCAGTCCTTTGAACCACCCTAAAGCTTTTAAGTGGAAAGATCTTAAGTCCGAAGTCCCAAAGCCCCGAAGCCGAAGATACTGAATTCCACGAGCTGTGGGTCGCAGGATCGTCGGTGAGGAGAACTCTCTGCTGGTGACCGGCATCGGTCAGGAGCATTCCCAAAAAGCTTTCTGGCGTTTGACGGTGTAGGCTTGCAATGGGCAGGGTTTTGTGAGGCATGGGTTGCCATGATGCAGACTCGTTCTTAACCTCAAGCCCCACACTCAAGCCGTACAGCATCCCAAAACCTCTCACCCCCTCGCCCCTAAATCCTAGATTTTAAAGAAGTGAGCCTCCGAATCCAGGAGCCACAAGTGCAGCTGAATGGCCTTGAGTCGGGGAAGACCTACGAGTTCCAGGTCTGCGGGGGCTTCGGGATTAGGGCTTAGGGATCAGAGGGGGAGGGCTTATAGGGTTTTTAGGGTTTAGGGTTGGGTTGTAGGCTTGGGGTATACACTTCTGAGCTCTGGAGCCGAAAGCCAGAAGAACAACCTAAATTCGAGAAGTACGCGGCTTAGACTAGACTGGATGGGACTCAACAGCCGAGCTTTCGAAATTCGAGACTACTGCCAACCTCTGAACCCTGCAACCAACAGTCCGATGCCCAACCGTCCTAAAACCGGAAACCCTTAGCGTAGAGTTTAGGTCTTTACAGGGGCTTGGGTTTTGGGGTCCTTTCCGGGGTCTTGTAGCTGGGGCTTTGGGGTTTGGGGATAGGCCGCTAGGCTTAGGGTTGGGGAACCCGAGGTCCGCGCCTGCAACGCCATGGGTTCCGGCGAGTGGAGTCATTGGTCTGACAGCGCAACCGCCGAATTTCGAGGGAACTTGGGTGAAAAGCCCTAAGCCGTCAACCCGAAGTCCGAAAAACGCTAAACCCTAAACCCTTAACCCCCGAACCCTAAAAACCAGAACTCCAAACCCTTGTTCCATCCTGTTTCTGTGGCGTGGTGTTATTGCTCCAGAGGTGTTAGGCAAGCCAGGTCTGATCCCTACACCCTATAAACCTACAGAGCTCGAAGCCATAAACCCCCGAAGCACTAAGCCCTAAACCCGCAACTACCAGCATTCATCCCAAGATAGTTGGTTCAGGTCTTCTGGGCTTGCGGTTTTGGAGGTCTCTGTTCAGCGTTTAGGGTTCAGGATTTTGGGATTGCTACTTCGGTTTAGGCTTTACGATTCCAGTCTGGGGCTTAGGGGATTTAGGGACCCCAGATCCTGCACCCTGTTGGAAGCTTGTAGAGGGACTCGTATCCACTCTGAAGGGAACCTTGATGTGGTTGATGTAGAACAGCTACTGAATATCCTAGAATCTTCGTAACCCACAACGGTCCCTGGAACATCTTTGTGCTAAATGACCCTTCTAAGCCACAAAATCAGAGATGTGTTGATTTAGGGCTTCGGGGCCTTAGGCTTCGCAGACCTTTCATTCGGTATTCATGGGCCTCGGTTGCCAGGCTATGTCGTGCCGCCGGGGCCCCAAAGCCAAACTGGGAATCCTCACTGCGACGCCATTTTCTTTTTGCTGTGGAGATGTTAGGGGAAGGGTTCAAGGTTTGGGACGTTGGGGCTTGGGTTTGGGATGTTACGTTCTCGTTCGGGCTGAGAGCTTTTGGTTTGCATTCAGACTTTCGCATATTCGGAGGGTTCGGATCCCTTTCAGAGAGGTGTCAGGGCTTGAGGATAAAAGGAACCTAAAACGAAATCTAGCACCGCCAATTAAAATAAGTAGTGTTAGTCCCCTGCACGGGATTCAAAGTCTTGAGTTTGGGAAATTTCTGAGCATCCTGTGGAAGCCAAAGGCGGATAAGCCATGGATTCCCAACCCCTAAGCCCTAAATGCAGGGCTTAGGGCGTAAGCTCAACGCAACACCCTTAAACCCTGAACCCCTCCTCGAGTCCCAACACCCCTTTAAGCCTTGGCGTGTGGTAGTGTCTCCACGTAGCCCCTGTATCATCAGGCTATTATCTTGTACCTCAAAACGTTGGTCTAACCAGTCTGGACAGCGTATGAAACCGAAACAAGGCCCTACAAAACCTCATCCGAAGGCCCGCTATGTTAGTCTTCCAAAGTCCGATGGAGTGTCTCACGTTCCTGGGTTCAGAGTTTTCGGGTTTATAGAGTTCAGAGTTCCGAAGGTTTAGGTTTCATCTTACCCGTGCCCCCCCGTGTGGAAAGCCGAGCACCCGATTCCCTAAATCCGACGACTCTGGGGCCATGAAGGAAGTTGAGAAGCCCCTCTGATACGAGTTGAGGCATCCGCTCCAGATCGTTCCAAGGCCAACGCCTGTCGATTCGGGGTGGGCTTAGGGCTTTGGGTTTTGGGTTCGGGGTGTAGGTCAAGGTTTCAGGGATATTTAGGTCGATAGCCAGGTCTCGGCGTCCCTCAAGCATATGAGCTCCTCTATCCTGTGTACAAACCCAAAATTGCACGCGGACCAGTCGCTGTTGTTGGCCTTTGTCTGGCAGATCTTTAACTTAGGCTTGAACACGTCGAGCATCTGTTGTGTGTAAGAGCGACGGTTTCCCTTGCCAACCTGAAGCAACACGCACCACCAGCAACACCAAAGATACACCCAACAATGAAGGCGTAATCTCACAATAGCAACAACAGTGGTACTAGCCCTGCCACTACACCTCTGCCCGGCGGCGACGATGACGACACTAGTGCTGCTGTTTCTACAAGAACTACTGTCACTGCGATGATAATGTTTACGATTGTTTGTAGTAGTCAATGTTCGACTCGTCGTCGTGATCCTGGTAGTATTCGTATTCGGGTCCTAGCGGTATTCGTGATTGTAGTGGCAGTCCGCATGAAGCCGAACAGCTCTGAACAGTTCAGTTGCAGCAAGGTATGGTTCTGCTTTATCAGGAGCCTCCGAGCCCGTTTAGAAGCCTTACACAAGCTTGTGCAGGCTAAACTGGATTCTGCAGCCCCAAAAGTTCAAGAGGTAAAGCCCAAACCCCAAAGCAGCAAACCCTAAACTGTACAGGGGCAAACCCTAAACACAACCTAAAAGTGTAAACTCCTAAATTAGACGGGCCAGCCCTTTGCCCTGAAGTTGGTTCCAAAATTGGCCAAACCTTTATAGAACCCGCTGTGGAGCCCTCGTAGAGCCCTAATCCTTATAGAGCCCCTCTGTAGAACCCATTTGCAGGAACGACTATGGGGAGCTCATAGAACCTCTGTCCTCATCGGAGTGCCCACACTCGATCAAGCTGGTCCGGGGCGCTCGGCGGTTGTGGAGATGTCTAAGCATCAGCTTCAATGTTGGGGGGCTTCTGTCCGATTCCTGTTTCAGGGACTTTCTGGTGGATTCGTGGGCATCACAGTTTAGGGATTCTTTTTTTGCGATTCTTGGGCCTCGGTTGTGGGGTTCTACATTGTTTCCGGGGTTGGGTCGAGTCCGGGCTACGCATGTTCCTGGACCGGTCAGAGGGCATTCAATTGACCGCTAAATTACACCCCAAACCCCTGAGCCCTAAACCCTAAACCCTACACCCCAAACCCTAAACCCCAAACCCCTGAACCCTAAAACGCGCTCAACCTTCAGCACTTTGCGGGAAGATTCGGTGTTCGAGAGACGCAGGGTTTGGGTTTTAGGGTTTCGGCGGGCTCGGGCTGTGGTAGGCCTCGCGGCCTTGACAACCATCGGAGTACGAAATTCTCTGGTTTCGGTCCGATGTACCGTAGAATCCCAACCTGGATCCTAGAACCAGAAGTCCCAATGACGAATCTAATGTTGTGGCTCAAGGTGTTGAGCGTGCTTTACTCTTTGCTGGTCCGGAATACAGCACATAATGTTAAAGCACAAGCTCTGTAGTACTAAACCCTTAAACATCCACATAAGAACCTACATCAGAGTCTTCGACCCTGAATCCAAAACCACAGGGCTTGGGGGCACTTACATGGTTTCCAAAGTGAATGGTACATGTAGGGATCAGAATCAGAACTTGAGGCTCAGAGAGGACGGTCCCTGCCTCCGGACCCGAGTCAAGGGCTCGTTCGCTCCGCAGGAATGGGACGAGCCGTGCAGCCAGGGCGCACCCATCATCGGCTACAGAATCCAGTGCCCCAGAATCCTACAGCCTCCAGACTCCAACATAGACCCCAACCCCCAAAACCTGGAAGCCTCATCAACTTAAAGCACTGAGCCCTAGACTCTTCACCCTTGACCCCTAAAACCCCAAAAGTCTGAGAGGTACAGCCTGGATCCTTCAGACGAAGGGGCATCGGAGACCATCACATCGCTGCACAGGCGCCTGTAGGTTGAATCCTTCCTTTTGCCGGGTTTTCAAAGTTTCGGGGTTTAAGGTTTGGAATTTTGCGTCATGGTGGAGGTCTAGGCTTCTAACAGGGTTATAGTAATTAGTAATTAGTTAACATTGTTGAGAGGTTCGGTATTTGTTGGGTAGGCTGAGTCTCATATTGCTTGAGATTGTGCCTGAGACGATGCTAGGCATCTTTAAGTGAGGCTCTTTGGCAAGGTGCGCTGCTTTTGATGTTGGATTGCAGGTCGCAGGTTGCAGGCAAAATGATATTCAAGTGACTTGGACTGGACGGCATAGTCTCTGTATGGGTTCTGTGGTTTGCTGGCATAAGGGTGGGTTTGCAAGATTCGCATTCCGAATTTCGGGGGTGGAGCAGAGCAGTTTAGACCCCAGGATCTCCCCTGCACCCTGAACCCAAGTGGACCTGGAGAGAGTTCCTAGGTTCTTTTCGTAACATGGCCCTCGCCTAGGCATTCCGAAGCCCTGGAAGTTGGATCGGGTGTTCCAGTCTCGTTTGGAAACACTGCCGTGTGGTGCTTGTGGAGGCGGACGAACCTGGTCGTCTCCGACCTGAATCTGGGCCGAACCCATTCTAGTTCAGGGCCTTCATGAGGGTTTGCACTAAACACAGTTGGAACACCTCGGCTTACGGATGAGCAGTGCCGGGATATACCGCGCTTCACAGCATGGGGCATGGGGAGAAACTGTCTGGTGCTCGTCCACTGAGCGCATGGCTCTGTGCGTGCTTCACTGCAGCTACAATTCACTGCAGCGAGAAGGCGCCCCACACCCCGAGCCTCAAAGGCGAAACCCTTCAACCTCAATTTGGGGTTTAGGGGTTTAGGGGCTTAGGGTTTAGGGTTTAGGGCTAAACCTCAAACCAAGGGCGTCAGGCTCTGCAGGGGAAGCTCCTGTGCGGGCGTAGGAGCCTGTACAAAGGTTCATGGCGAGAGTGGGGAAAGGCCCCAAACGCGCCTTCATAGCATCGCGCCAGACAAAAACCTATCCCTATACCCTAAACTCTAAGCTTATACCTTGACGCCGTAAGTTACGAAACCCTACACTGGCTCGCCTAGGCCTACAACACTAGACTGAAAGGCCCCTTGAAACCTGAATCGTAATCTCCGACACTGCGCCGTAGACCGGCATTCACTAGAAGCTTGAGCCCAGTTGTTGAGATCCTTCCCCCCGCAACTGGGTTTTCCTGAAGATGTGAGGGTTCAGGGTTTGGGGTGATAGAGTAATCCCACAGGCTTATGTGAACAACACTGTTGTTGGATCCAAGGGGCTTATGGGCAACGTCGGAAGCCTGAACCTTGAACCCCTAAACCCCCGAATCCTACATCCTAGTTGATGTCTACAAGAAGCCTTCAAGTACCAGCAGTGATTGGAGGTACCTGGTTATGTGCACACCTCAATAGGGGTGGGCTCGCCTGTCGCACGGAAACGGGCCACTGCACGTTCAAAAAAACACCCTAAATCCAACGACCACCATTCCCTGAACCCGGGATAGCCCCAAAGCCAGAGACAAGGCCGTTGAAATGGCAGAGTTGAGGATTGCTGAGGTTTTGGGGTAAAAGGTATTTAGGGGATTTTGGGTTTGGGCTTAGGATTCAGGGGTGCGTAGGGTTTAGGGCAGGAGGGGGGGATCCGGCATTCTGACCGGACCAGAGCATCGCATGCAATTGGCCCGTTTTCAGGAAACCCAGCCACCTCTACTTCTTCCGGGTGCAAGCGCTCAATGAGGCCTGATCCCGGGTTTTCTCGGCTTCTAGGCTGGCGGGATCTAAGGGGGTTTTAGGAGGTATCAAAGTTTCAGGAGTGATCTGGGATTGGGGCTTGGTGTACCGGATGTTTTGGGGCGTACTGTTTCGGACCTCCGCGGCTTCCGGCCTTGAGCTCTGAAGCTCGAAGCCACGGGCAAGATTTCAGAGGGCCAGCCGCAACTCCAGATTTTGAAAGCCCAAGCCCTAAAGGCCCTAAATCCCAGACCCTGTAAAGCTTGAAGAATCCTTCAGAGCCGATCGTAGTCGACTGCAAGCATCCGTTGGCAGTGGAGGCGGTGATCTGGTAGTAGAGAGACTGCTCTAACAACACCCGCCGGTACCGCTGTTGTGGCTACAGAGTATGACGACATCTCCTTGCGCGTGTCTTACTCTTGGTTGCAGCCCCTTAGCCCTAGACTAAACCCTGAACCGATGATGAAGCGTCGTGGGCAGGTTGGTTGCTCAGAGTGGACAACCTGGTCCGACGGAATCGCAACCAAGGTCCTGTGCCCTACATTCGGCAAACCTAGTCCGGTGACTAAATCTGGTTGTGGGTGTAGGGTTTAGGGCTCGGGACCTGGCTTCGAGGCTGGGGAGATTTAGGAAGTTAGTTAGACTTTCTGAGCCCTCCCTGTAAGCCTTAGGTGCAGGCCTCAGAGTGAAGAAAGAACATTGGTGAAAGTTGTTCCGGGAGTGAGGGAGTCTGTGGACCGTTCAGTCCTTCCTCGACCTGCTTTTCAAATCCGATGGGTCTGTTGTGCTCGGATTTCTGCTAAAGTTACATGTGACTCCATATGGAAAGTCGCACGCTTGTCTCTTGAGCCTAAACCAACCCTGTATATTCACCCTGTGTCCTGTCCTGAATATAGTATATTCAGGACAGGACACAAGGATTGAGAGCTCCAGAGCCACTAAAGTCTAGACTCTCAACCTGAAGTGGGCACGGAAGCGATGATGCCTGCAGCACCCGGCACATGATACCATCATGGCAGACCCCTTGCATGGCGACAGTTTCTCAAATCCCAGTCTCCTGTGGTTTTGGCAGCAAGCGATGAACAACTTTCGGATTTGCGCTCAGGAAGTCATGAATGTCAATGTTGATGCTGGTGTCCGAAAACGTTGCAAGCGCGAGCGGCTTTCCAACAGAGCGTCCTAGTTCTGTTCCGTGCATTGCCTTCCATGCCTGGATTGTGTTATGTGTTGCTGTCTACGCGTTGGTGCCGTAGATGAGGCATGTGAGCCAGGTCATCTCCATGTAGAGTAATCGAAGGATGCCAGCAATGGCCAGGCTGGAGGGACGCACGCGAAATTCTGCGGGCGGCACATTTTCCTCGTAAAACACGTGGTCAAGAGCTCTCAGCCGGAAACCGCGTGAAACCCGTCTTGCAGTTAATGGTCCCATACGATACTGGTTGCCCTCGAGCCCAAACCCTGATCCGTACCCCAGCTTTGTACCACCAAGCACCATCCAAGCCCCATCACATCTGCAGGTGGTGGGTCCCGAAATTCCCGACGCACCCACGCTGGTTCAGGCCGTGGGTCTGTCGGGTTCGTAAGATGGGTAGCTCTCTAAATAGGGTCCCTGTTTATGTCCCCAAAAAGTGGGGCACCCCAAAGGGACAGAACTAGCCAGATAATTAGACTTTAGGGTCGGGGTGTTCTAACAGCTAGGGATGCCCATTCAGGGTCCTTGGTTGTAGAGGCTCCTGTCTCCGGACTCCGAAAAGTTGAGGTTTGGGCTTTTGGGATGAAGATTTGTGCCTTGATCTGAAGCGGTCCCGAATCTATGTACCGTATTTTCAACCAAAGCCATCGGAACGCGCCGACATGAAGCAAGCCTTTCAGTACGGTCTGGCGTTTAGGGTTGGGGGGTGGGGGGGGGGCAGAGGGGCAGAGCAAGAGCAGAGCCCAAACACACAAGTCTCCTCCAGAAGCGAAGTCACCAAATCTTTCAAGTCGGAGTCCGGAGAGCCTCGATCCCCGCACCCTAGACCCCCCAACACATTCAGGGTGCCAAGTTTGCAGACCTTGAGTTGAACATCGAAGCTGCAAAGCCTTCACATACGAAGCTCCGAAAGCACAGGGCCACTGCAGCCGTAAAGTATGAAAAGCCATTTCCTTAATTCACAAGGCCTCAATACCTAAACCCTGAAGCCACCTGGGTTCTAAATTTTCCAAGCTACCCATGAACACGTGAATCCGAAACCCTGGAAGATTTGGAAACCCCAACACCCCTTAAAACCATTCAAAGCCCCTTAAAGCCCTTGAGCCACTAATCCTGCAAATTTTGGCGAAAGGCGAAGCCACGGGATTTGACGATCACCTGGTCCGAGCCGCACACCTGCGGTTTCAGGCGGCTCGTCTTGCTCCAAAACGATGATGAGATGTATAAACACTAGACATAATGATAAACCAGACATTTTCTGTTGTAGTGGACCCCTGATGCTGGACTTTCAAAGGACCCCCACTCTACCTCAACCCTAAACCCTAAACCCTAAGCCCTAAACCCTGAACCCTAAACCCTACTCAGGCCCTGGACTGAACTCTGACATGCACCCCTCTTCTCAGGCTGATCGGCTACGACGTCAAGGTCTCTCGCGAGGACCGTGGCTTCCACCAGACTTCGGAATGCAACCCAGTTCAGGGTTTCGGCATGTTAGGGTTTGGGATCCAGGGGAGGGTTTTTTGGCTTTAAGGACTACATATTCTCCAGGGTTAAGCTTAGAATGCCTTGGAACCGCTGTGCCAACCCGAAACCTCAGCACCATAATTCGATAGGGTTTAATTAAGGTTTAGGGTGTTTAGTGTTTGCAGGCTTACGATTGTTTACTCCCCTCGCGGTCTTACCGTGCTCATACTTATGATTGCGCCTGCCAGGTGCATCATGCAGAAACACGACCTGGCTATGCTCCCTGTTCCCTGCTCTCGCCCTATGTCCTGTGCCCTGCCTCTCTGCCCCCGGCCCTGCGTAGCCCTGGGCAAGAGTTCCTTATTTCCTGAAGGTTAAGCGCTCTATGCCCCAATGTTCCCAACCTTCCATGCTCCAGCTCCAGAATCAAACCCCCGAGAGCGCAAACCACAAGCCAAAAGACTCCAACGCGCTTAGACCGTAGTCTCTCATTCCGAAACCCCTAAAGCTTCTGGAGGATCCATCGATGAAGGAGGCCCTGATATTGCCTGGAGACGAGCGCGTGGTGCGCACGTTCGTCTCCCAGGGGCCAGAAGAGAGTAAAGAGCTTTGGGCTCTCTAGGCGGGCTTCGAGTTTGTGGATGTAGGGGTTTGGATTGAAAGTTGTGGGGTTTTCGGGGTTGGGTGCAGGGGGATGGGTGGAGGATTTTTTGGTTCGGGATTCTGGGTTTCGGGGTTTAGTGATTTCGGATTCCGCGGGTTCAGTGTATCTTGTAGCTTCGGGGTTTCAAGATCTTAGGTTTCGGGGTTGGAGTTCGGTCCTTTGCAAGTAGATTCCATCCAGGCTTGATCAGCATCCGACGTAGGCCATCTGAAACCGGAAAATCTCAAGGTCCCAAGCTTCTCCTGTCTTTGACAGAGTTGGGGTTCGTTGCTTTTTTCAACCTTGAAACAGGGACCCACATGCCACACGCCTTGAGGCACCAGCTCCAGTTGAGCGACCTGGAGCCTTTGCACGACTACTACTTCCAGGTGGGGCCTGCTAAGAAGGGTTTAGGATTGAGGGCTTAGGGTTTAGGGATTCGGTTTTCTGGTTCTGAACCTCCAGAGAAGCCCTAAAGCCCTAAGCCACTGCCTTTGCCCAAGACCCGAACCAACTATAAACCTCTTTGTCTCCGCCATACATCCCGTCCCGAACCACCTACAATCCTGGGATCCTTCCGGCGGGGGGGGGTCTGAGAGGGAGGGTACGACTGGGTTACGTACCCCCCCCCCCCAACCCCCCGTGATCCCAGAAGTAAGAGCCAACTACTCTTGTAGCCTTTGAACCACCAAAGCTCAAACAGCCCTCGAGCTCCTAACCCTGCGTCGTAGACCAAAACTCCGAGTGGGACCTCGGGGCTTTACCCCAAATCCTTGACTCCTAAACCCAAAGCCAGGTAAAATGTAAAACGTGTGGGGTTTAGGGGCAGGCTGCAGTCCTTGCACTTGTGGGAGGTTCGGGCCGTTGCCAACACCGGAACTTCCGGCTGGAGCGAGGCCACTGTTGGCCATTAACGCTTCTGTTGCAGGGTTTGGTGTTTAGAGGTTTAGAGTAGAGTGGTGTTGGTTTAGGATCATTGTGTCGGCATTTACCAATGTTGACAAGATCTGCACTTCATCATCATTTCCGATATGGCCAGGTACAGTACCATGACGAGGAAGCACGGTTATCACTACTGCCACTACTGCAAGTGTCTGTTTTCTTCGTTGAGCAGAATGTATGATTGCTGTTCTGTCCTCATTACTGCGACCTATTCGTGCGCATTATCTTGAGGATACTTCCTTCCCTTCCCTCCCTCCCTCTCTCCCTCCCTGCCTGCCTGAGCCACAGAGAGTCTTCAGGCTGTGAATAATCCCCCAGCCTGCAAACTCCATAAACTTTATGGCTTTATCAGAACCAGAACCCTAATGAGATACCCCATCCTTGAAAACTGGGCACCCCTGGAGGTGTCGGGGCCTTTCAAGACATGCATGTCGGCGCCGGAGCCCTGCACGGACCGGGCTGGGGAGGGGTGCTTAACTCGAAGTGGGATGTCCTTCGGCCTTGATTTTAAATTCAAGCTCCAGCAGCCTTATCCCTGGACCCTACCTGCTTGCCAGATTCCTGAAAGCCTCGGCCAACCCCAACCCCAGACTCTTAGACCCGACAAACTCAGAGCCCAAATGCACGAACCTCGACTACCTGTGACTACCTGCACTTCGACCACCCTTGTGCAAGAGGCAGGTCCCGCTCAGAAGACTGAGAGGCCCTAAACCCTAAACCGTTTCGGGTCCAGGGTTTTAGAGCTTCGGGTTTGGGTGCGTGGGGCAGGGCTCTTGCTGGTACCAAAAATAGGTTCATTCACTTTGTAGGCTTCTGCAGCAAGCAATAGTTTGGTGGCAAACCCTACAGCTGTAAGCCCACTAAACCCCGCAAGCCCCACAGCCCCAGAACCCTAGCCTAGAGCCCCTGACGCTAAACCCTATCAGGGCTTGCCTTAAAACCCCAAACCCAAAAACCCTAAGACCCTGCGGCCAAGACCCGACTCCGAAATCTCAATGAGCCCAAAGCTGTTTAGGCGCCCAGCCGGTCATTGTTTTCACCTCAAGTGGGAAGAGCTTCATGGGGTTTAAGATGTGGCATAATAATTGTAAGCTAGGGGCCGAGTAACTCTCAACACTCTTCCGATCATGCCCCAGGGTTGCTGATCATCTGCCCTCACTCATCCAACTGTTTAGGCTCCTCTATTATGCTGAGGTTTAGGGTCAGGGGCAGCCGGGCCTCAAAATAAGAATAGCATACAGTAGGAGCCGTTTCAACATCACTCACCACTTCCCCCCGCAGCCAGTC